ACTACTACTACTACTACTACTACTACTACTACTACTACTACTACTACGACCACCACCACTACGACTACGACTACGACTACGACTACTACTACTACTACTATCACGATAACCGCCACAGCAACGACAACAACAACCGCAACCACAACGACAACAACAACAATAACGACAACAACCACAACGACAACCACAACAATCAACCCCAACGCAAACTACCAACATTCACTACAGCAACCATTCCCGCCTCCCCTCTCCTTGGCTGGCTTTCCAAGTAAGCCCTTAAGTATCATAAACTGTGACTCCTGTAAATCAATTGTTTCCACACAACTCATAGCAACACCCAAGACCCTTCGGTTTCACTGAGTGTCCGGGCGTTTCGGTAAACATCCACTATAAAAATAGATATCAGAATCTCTTTAGGAAGTAATATTGTAAGTAATATTGTAATTGGTTTACTAATATCTCTTTAGAAGAAATGCACGAGACTTTGACCGTTTCACCGTATAGAAACTGAACTTGGTATAGTCAGTTCATGTCAGTATCAGATATCCAGATCAAAAATGTACGTAATTACACTGAAGAACAGGTCGTGTACAAAAGTAGTTGCTATGTTAAACCGAATGTGTACGAGGAACGTGTGTTCTCACGAAGAAGTCCGATCGAAATTCACCGAGATATCAGAGATAGTTAGTTGATTCAACCGAGAAAAGAACAATGCACCGAGAAGGAGGGTGGACAAAAGGTTGGTAAGCAACGACGGGTGGATAGCAGCAGCAGCGGCGGCGGCAGCAGCAGCAGCCTAGCAGCAGCAAGAGCGAGAGCGAGAACAAGGTCAAGAGCAGCAGCAGCAGCAACAGCAGCAAGGTCAAGAGCAGCAGCAAAAGCAACAAAAGAGAGCAGCAAAAGCAGCAAGAGCAACGGGAAGAGCACCAGCAAGAGCAGCAGCATGAGCAGCAGCACGAGCAGGAAACATCAGGAAGCCAGAAGCAAACCAACAGCAAACCAGCAAACAAGAAGGAACGAAACAGCAGCAATCCTGCAGCAGGTCCAGCATAAGGCATGGGAAGCACGAACATAGGTGGGAACGCGCTTGAATGAAAGAGAGCATGAGGACGAGGATGAAGCTCAGGAAAAAAATATATAACGAGGAGGGAGGATACTTCGTAAGAAAGAAGTGGGTGAAGGTTCTTTGCATGAAGTAGAGAGATACATGAAGTGGAAAAAGCTCGGCCACCGCACAATTGAAAGGAAATTGACCCGTCCCAGGTAAAGTGAAGAATTGCCTTTTGCCACCACAAAATCAGGTCCCCAAGCAGAATCCAGGTCCTAAGCTAGAGCTAATTGAACTCAGGTTGCCTGACGCAACCTTTCGTGACAAGAGCAAAGCTCAATATTAGATTAGGCACCACAAGATCAAGAAAGTGGTTTTGCCTGTGAGCTTCACATGTGTCTTTTCGGAAAGTGGAAGCATTCATTATAGAAAAAGAGATGTACCAGGTATCTTTAGGTTATCAGACGCTACCAGGAAAAGGGATGTCGCCATGGTCGTCGCAAGGCTCCGGGTGAATGGAGAAGTCCCAAGTTTTCCCGTACAGTCTTCAGATCAGTGGTGCCACGGTCCAGAAGACTCGATCACAGTTCGGGATCCAGGGCGGGGGGTTTTCTGCCCCAACCTGCTTGGATCAAGCTGATTGCTCCCGTCTTGATTTATACAGTGGTAGTGGTAGCAATGATCAGCGGCAAATCCTTTTAGATATATAGTCCCAAATGGTATTGATGGTGCTGCTGAAGTTGTTGCATTGTTGCTAGAACTTAAACATCAACTTACAAGCTACGTTATTTCATGTTATTTCTAACGCTAGGGTCAAAGACACCATTCACCAACTCTTCCAAAACTGCACCCCTCGACCCCTCGTCCCCAACGAGGCCACCTTCGGACACACGACGCCCCCGCCCCAGCACCGGTTTGACAGGCCCCAAGTGGCCCATGTGCTCTGAAGGCATTGCTCCAGCGACATCCGGTCGTGAGGACTGGCGAGGCCGGTGGTGTGTCTTTGTTCGGTCCGTCACCGGTCCGACGTGCCGAAGTGGGTGCACGGGGTGTCGAAAGGGATTAGAGGTCAAGTGGTTTAATGGGATAGAGGTCGTGGCATCTGGTTGGGCCGGGCCAGTCGCCACGAGCTGCCTAGAGTGACGGGATGGCAGGATCGCCCAGTTGATTTTGGTCGTCCTTCCTCTCGAAGTCATAGAACACATCTTCACAAAAGATCGTGAATCATTCCTGAACGTTCTTGGGATCCAAACCCATCTGTGCCAAGCCAGCTTGGATGGCTAGATCATTGAACCCAGTAAAAAGAAAGCTGAGGCCAAGGCTAAGAAGTGTGCTGCAAGTACAGCCTTCAGCACTAAAGCATCAAGCAGAAGCCTGGTTTTGCTGTCAGGACTGTTCTGACCATGGCCAGACCGCCCAGACCGCCCAGACCTGACAAACGCGCGCGCGTGGATCACCCCGTTTGGCCTCTTCTTGATCAGCCCGTGGATCAACTCCTCTGCGTAACGGTTCCCGCGGAAAGAGAAGCGGCCTGCGGCGGCTCTGGCGGCTCTGGCGGCTCGCGGGGGGGTTGAAGTGTTCCCCACCACTGGTTCCCAAGCCTTCTGGATTCTACAATTCCTCTTCAGCCCGAGAGCCACACAAGGGTCCGAAGTTGCAAACACTTATCTTGGACGCCCCAAGATAGCGGCGTCATCACGAGGCGCCTACTGGGGCACCTACTGGGGTGCCTAAGAATCACAAAGCTCTCTTCAATTGCTACTTCATAGCTGAATTTAGCTAAATAATATATAGTTGTGGTGAGTTGTGGTGTGTTTCTCAGATTCCGACAGTTTTGTCCATGCTCGTGTCTGTCTCTCAGGTCACGTTGCCTCAGAGGTGTAAGTCGTGTATATAACTTCCACATCCAAATCTCCAGGTTCATCAGTTCATCCCCCAACACAACTGCCATTTTTCTTTGGTCTCTGGTGTTGACCCTCTGATGGGCTTGGGTCGGAGCTTCCGTTTCGACGAATGGGTCGGAGCTTGCTCATCCACCCGTGCTTCGTCCACTGGAAACACGCCGAGCGAAGGAGGTCTGGCCGGGTCCCGTGTCGTCAAAACGGGCCTTGGAAATAGGCCGGATCTTCCGAGGTTCGGAAGGGGTACGATCCAGTGAGCATCACCTGAAGCGACGAATCGGGAGGGGCTCGGCTCCCTGGGCGCATCGGGAGGCACGAGGATGAAGCGGGGTCCGGGGCCAAAGGCGCAGGGCGGGAGACGTGGCCCATGTCTCCTCAATTTCAGGGAGAAGTCGAAGTCCAGTCTGGGGTGTGAATCACTTTGAGGTGTTCATTCACGCTCAGAGTTGGTGCGACTTGGAAGTCTAGGCCCAGTCTAGGCCCTCCAGGAAATTCTCAGACCTTGGGCGTCATGAAATTCTCAGATGGGCTCCGAACTGCTCCAACGAAGCGGTGCTCCAAGGCGCATACAGCACCACACCCAAGCTCCACAAATCCGCACGCCTCAGCGTCTCCGCCGGTCTCCCGCCGTCTCCGCGCGTTCGAAGAGATCCGCCCGTGGACGGGGATCGGGGTTCCCGGTGGGTCGAAACGCGCGGTTCCGGTGGTTCCAAGAGGTGGAAATGATGTCGACACCATATGAAACACCCCCCACTGACTCTGACGTGTTCCAAAATGCCATCCAGGTTCCGGTGGGGGTTTGGATGAATTTTCCAAGGCTGTGAGGCTGTGATTGAGCCAAAGGCCAAGAAGCACAGGCAATTTTCAGCAGCTCAGCCAATGACCAAACCTCTGGGAGCTACGAGTACGGTCCTTGTTCCGGTCTGATCTGCAGTCGCCGTTTCTGCAGTCTTCCAAGTGCCAAATGCGAAAAGAAAACGTTAACACACTGGTTCCGTGACGCCAGTGCGAAATCGTGCGCAAGACCTGAGAAAAACCATGAGCGACCCAAAAGACACCGGTATGGCTGTCGATGGTCATGGTATGGCTGTTGATGCTCGTTCTGGCTTGGCTGGGAGAGACACTGTCGCTGGTGTGATGTTCTGATCTAGGGACAAAGAACCAACTAATGGTTCATGGGTGATGTGATAATGCACAACTAATGTTCAAGAGGTGTCCAACTGCATGTGGGAAAAGGCACTTGAAAATCTGCCAGTCCCCTTCAAATGAATATGGTAGTTTCAACACGTGTTGGCCACCGAGGAGTCCCTTTTCCAAGGGGGTTATGCAGAGTGCGTCCATCGATTCCCCACCCATTCCGCCCCGTGCGTGGTGGCATCGGCGATGATCGATTCATGAAGACGGGTGTGTCTTTTAATGGGGAGACACCCAATCAATCCGTAGACGGGCGAGTTTCCTCCTTCTAGGGTTAAGAGTTGCGACGACAGGCAACCACTGGAAATGTAGATTTAATTTTTTTGTGAGGTCCTGAGTAAGGAAGTCAGCAAGAAAATGGTGAACATAGGTTGGGGTGTTCGTACAACATGTGGAAGAAAAGCAATCAAAAAGTGATTGGAGACATGGGATCAGCAAAGCATGGACAGGAAAATAGTGAGAAAATAGCAAGAAAATAGTGAGAAAATAGTGAGCATACTGACTGACATATTGTGAAACGCCTCCCGAAACGACACGTGACGTTTATATATTAGGTTTCGATTCTGGATTGCTTTTCTGATCACAATTTGATCACTTTTGTTTTGCTTTTTTCTTGCTTTTGGTATCCAAATATTGCAATCACATCACCTTTGGATCGCTTTCTGCTCACCTTTCCGCTCACTATTTTTTTGACTTGTCCCTCTGAGATTGCTTTTCGTTTGCTCCAACTCCTACTCCCAAAATCACTAAAAAAAATATTTTACCAACCCTCAGCGGTTGGCTGGACTCCATCTCTTAATTCTAGGGGTTCGTTGGAAGGTCTCCTGATTCTAATTGCACACCCATATTCATGGATCCGACTGGCGGTGGTGAGCCCTACCAGATAAGTTCCTTCAGCTTATGAACCATGGATAACCATGGGAGTATCCTCCCAACCTTGAAGACATGATGTTGCAAAGAGATGCAAAGAGCACTGAATTTTCACTTGCTTCAATCAAAACGGCAAAGATGTTGTATCCAGAATCTGGGTTTGGATGAATGACTACATTTGCTTCAGACTAACTCCCGAAATCAAGTCCAACGACTTCACTTTAGCAGCTATGAGAGCTTTTTGCAGGTTCTAGAAAAGCACCTCATCATCAACCTCTTCCTCCTCCTCCTCCTCATCATCATCACATGATCCTCACATCATCCTCATATCCCATCCTCCTATCCTATCCTCACATCCTCATCACCACCCTCAAGAGTTCTACATGGACTCAAGCATGCCAAGTCACCTCCCTCCCCATAAAAGATTTAAAAAAAAAAAGACCCCCAGCTCCCATCTCTCATTCTCTTTCGTCCTTCTCCAAGGCGCTCGTCGTAGCGCTTCTGATTCGCCACTTCGGGGGACAAGTACTGCGGAGTGCCTCGTTTTTCGGAACACCGGAGCTGCATGAGCTGCATGAAACAGTGGGGGTTGTTCAAAAGTGGGGTGTTCATCATGAAACCCCTGGGTTTTTTTCACTCTTGATAATTTTGCTTTGCATCTGTCTCGCATGACTTGTAGGTCTTCGTGTTGTTGGTGGAAGGTTGCTGCGTGCAATTCGGATTCTAGATGTGTCGTGATATATGGCTTCAGATCATCATCACGGATGGCCGGTGTGCGAAGACACGTGGTAGATGATTGTCCTCGTTTCTACCTTAGCTTTTGGGCTGGTAAGCCTTCGGTTCAGAGTGCCATTTCCCAATGCATCGCACAGAAATCAGCTCTGGGCTGTCAAAAGGAGTTGTGAGTTGTCATCTTGGCAAACAGTCTAGATTTCCTGTTCCAAGCACTTAGCAACAGTTCCTCCAGGTTGCTGCGCCTAAGATTTCACAAAAAACAGAACATGTTTTGGACTTGCATGCCAGTCTTTGCCTTCCCTACGCCCTAGTGTCCCAATGACGCCCAAAAATGAACGCTTCTTTCCCTCTGTTGAGACCACGAGCCTACGTAGGACCTTCCATAGGTGTAGCCGTCGCGGACCAGCTTGGAGTGCCCAAAGTCAGAGAGTTTCACTTCAACGGGTGTTGGCAAGCTCTTCTGCCTGGGAGGCAGGACGCAATTGATGTCCATTTCTGCATGGAATCGGCTGAAGAAGACAAATATAGGACAGAGTTGATACGCCCGGTGCGGGGTAGAGCCAAAGTTTCTCTCGGGCAGGATTTGTGTAAGGCATGTGCCAAAAGTTTGGGGAAATTGGCGTAGCCAACCACCAGGCAGTTCCGAAACACACTCAAACCATGGGTTGCGCGTCAAGTCTGCGCTGCCACGACGGTGGCACCCGATTTCTCACCACCGCACACGATTCCCATATTTCATGAAAGTGTCCTACCTTTCTACTCGGCCAAGACAAATCACCTGACCACTGCTTCGTGAACTGTTGTGGATCTCAGTTCGGTCTTATTTTCTTCCTTTTCTCCCCTCAGAACATCCGTATCCTTCACCTTCCCGACCAATCCTAGCTTTTCGCCGCCACAGACACCTTCCCGGCCTTCCAGTGGCCTCCTCGAAGGTCGCCGGCGCGGCCAACAAGATGTTCTGAGGCTTCCTGTTTCGGCCAAATGAGGCCCCGAGGCCAGAACCACCAAGTGAAACCCCAAGACACACATAGCAATTTGGCCTAACAGGCCTGCTGCGGTGAACGTAGTTGGCTTGATGGTTTGCCCCGTTTGGGCGGAAAAAATCCGAATTGGGATTCTTGGGGGGTTGAAGAGACGCATCAAGACAGCCCGACATGCGCAATCAATGCAAGGGAACTGAGGCAGAACTGAGGATGCAGCTTGGAGTCCAGTTTTTCAAAAACTGAAAACGGGTCTGTCGACATGGAGTTTTGACTGCATTGAACATGGGATCTGTGAGAACCAACCTGTTCCTGTAAGAACTGCACTAACAGAGTTGAAAGCCTCCGACAGAGCCAACGACACTTCCCGTCGAATCAAAGAATAATGCGTCACCGGAGACTCTTGCACTCCCACGGTCACCGGAGACCACCAAGTATTTTTCGTGAATTCAGATGACACCCCATCTTCCCTTAAAACAGCTCTGTGTAAAAATACCCATGATAATGCCATGGGTATCATCCTCCAGGCGCCAGTTGTGTAGATGCAGAATGGCAGGGCAGGGCTCAAAAAAACATAGACACCCAACAGAATCCAGATGCTGGAAAAAGTGCAACAAACATGAGTGGTGGACATGAGACATATATGAATCGTTTCATATGCTTGAAGGTTGCCTTCTAAAACCAAGGACCACAATTTCATGGGGCTGGGCTGGTACCTATGTTTGAAGCAGCCACTGCTGTTTGGTGCCCGCTCCCACAGAATATCCAGCACATAGACATAGAGCCAAATGTGTCCATATCATTTCTACCACATACAGTTATGAAGAAGGGAGACCTACGACGCACACCCACAGAAAAAATATCCAGGAGGCTTGCACAAACAGCATTGTCCCTTCAGAGTAGTGTCCCCACACCCACAAACAGTAGATTTGGTTGTTATATTCAAACCGAGTACGAAAGCATCAAAATCCTGGTCTCCTTGCAGTAACCTTTTGGAGCTGTCTTTGGCAACCCAATACCAAACCATGCTGCTTGAAGCACCGAGAAAGGAACGTTGGGAGCCAGAAAGCTGTGGAGTCGGATGTGACGCCCAGCGAGTCAAAGTCACAAGGGCATGACGAACGGAAGAAAGAGCTCACGAACGTCGCTTCTTAGGGCGTCAGATTCCGAACGAACGTCCGCGCGAAAAAATCTGGCGCCAACGATCAAGCATCAAATCTCTGTGTACGATGTTCTTGGAATGAATGTGACTCCTCAGAGCGCGGGCATCGGCTTCGGCCTGGACCGTGGACCTTGCCCGCGGCCGCCCCGAAGGACGCACCCCACACGTCTTCCATGGGTTGGTCATGGATGACCCATAGAATCCCGACAAGAAGAGAAAAGAAACCATCCAGAGCTACGCAGCTACGCCCTCCCAATGGACGCCTCAGTGAATTCACAAATGTTTGCAGCCCAATGTGTGGAGTTCGGTAGATCTCAATTGAACCCTGTCCAGCTCCGGATCCACCACCCTTCGGGAGCGAGGTCGATCCGTCTCCGAGGACGATGAGGTCGCGCCGTGAGAAGAGGTGACAAGTGTCAATCCGTCAACGATCTGGAGAAAAAGGTGGCAAGCCTCTTTGTCATCCAAGTGACCTCAGTCGCACTGATGGATGCAAGACTCATAAACAAATGTCAGGAACCTCTCAGCAGAACAAAGATAACATATATATATATACAGTAGAAGAAAAGACGGACAAAATCCATCAAACCTCTCAGCAGAAAGCAAAAAAAAGCTCCCCCCAAGTATGAATGTTGAAGCATTTGTCCAACGTATTCCGAGGGAAAGGCCCTTCTATATTGAGTTTGAGGTAGTTCGAGACGGCATGTCCAATTGGTGCTGTGGAGGTCTGAATATGCTTGTTGTCAATTCCTCTAATAGCCACTGGGCTGAGTCACGATCCAAGCCCTGGGCACCCTAGACAGCAATTGGATCAAGCACGGGTGTCATTTGGGATGGGGATGCATTCATGGACTGCCGAAAACAGGCGACTAATCTCAACCTGGTCAGTTCATCCAGCAAGCTCAAACGTCGAAGCAAAACAATGCAATCGGAGTCGCCATTCGGCTTGCCTAACAAGTATTCCCACAAATCTCCTGGACAATGGCTCTTCATCGGAGACTGTTTCGGCACCAGACATGACCAAACATGAACCAGACCTACTCGGGAGGGGGGTGGGTTTGGTCTAGTCAAAAGATTCTTGATATCAAGGGAAAGGTTCTTCTTCTAGGGGCCATGTTCTAAGCAAACAATATTTGTTCAATAGAGATATTATGGTGGATTCAAGAAGTCGGACATCTAGAGCTCTGGTGTCAAAAACGTTTGCCTGTGTCTGCCAACTCGCTTCAGGCTGACATTCAATTAGCGACGGGAGCTCAACTAGCCAAATGTCCCCCAAACCTTCCGGCGACGCTCAACTAGACCAACAGTGATCCACAATGATCCACATCTCTTTGGGATGTTCGGCAGTCCAAATCAGTCCATCATCCGATCGTCGGTCTTCCACATCTCAGCTCCGCATCCGATTGGTCTTCTGAGGCATACGTCGCTGGGTCTTCTGGGTGGACTTACTCTGCGCAACTGATGGGCACGTACATGTACAGATTCTATATATATATATATATACATGGTCCCGTCCAAGGTTAGAGTAATGTACACTCTCCGGCTGTGTCATGTTTACCAAAGTTTACCTGTGACAGCAATACTACAACAAAGAAGTGCTTTTGAAGAATGCTCAATAATCTCACAACCATCCGGGAAACTCTAGTATATAGTGACCCCTTCCTTTGAAACCACATGTCCACATGTTTGCTACTATATCCTACGACTCTAGTCCGTCGTCCGTCGAGGGATCGTCCGATCCCAGGTCCCCCGTAGCGGCTAGCGAAGCTCGCTCCTCCACGGATGAGCTCCATCACCAAGAAAATGGTGTGCTGTTGCCTACAGGCGGTGAGGAAGCAAACGCAGTTACCCGAACCAAACCATCACATGGTGGACGAGGGGCAACGATCTGTGGAATTCGAAGGGGTTCACCATGGTGCCTGTGTTTTGACCCACCAGCTGTTTGAGGGCGAAAACCGTCGGTGGCGCAGCACCAGTCTTCATACTTTGGACGTTGGGTGTCCAAAAGCCAAAACAATCGTTGCGAATCACCTAGGAAGGATCACCGCGAGGCGGTTCCGGTAAGATGAACGGACTGGTGAAACCTCAACTTCAATCGAACAAAAACCGGGCGCATCACTGGGTTCAATCATCCAAAGGCCCAAAGTTGTGCTCGTCGAGGTTTTTCAAACGAAAATATAGTGGGTTGAGAGTAGTGAGTAGATGGCACAATCCCCAAGCTTGGTGGTTTATATGGACCCCTATATAAAAGACATCTTGGGGTGTCAGTGCCATCTACTCTGATGGCCCACTGTATATGAAAGCACACTCACTCGATGATCCAACAGGATCCAATGATCCAACAGGATCCAACTGTGTCGGGTTCTTTGGCTGATAACCCTGTCCACAGATTCGTTCCTCCCCCAGAGAGGTCCGCTCACATGGACCCAAACACGCCACGAGCCAGCGGGGCGATGAGTTCAACGGTGCGCTTCTTTTTGACCATCGAAAGTATACAAATACATATTATATATTATATTATATATATGTATAATGTTTATTTAATGAATCTATATCTTTTTGCTTGTTCATACAGGGGATTCAATCTGAGTCCGTGTTGGGGTCCCTATGGCGTTTGGGTGGCTACGACCATCACTTCTCCAAGACACTCTTGAAAGTCCACAAGTTTTACGATATTCCTGTGCCGCAAACATCCGCAGACGCCGTCGCAACATCCGCAGACGCCCATTTCTTGGGGTTTAACCCACTGACCACTGAGTCACTGACCTGATCAACTGACCTGATCAAACAATATCAAAAAAACACAATATCCGCCGACCCCGGCCTATAGCCAAAGCCTAGGCGGGGAGGCGCCTGGGACACCGCAGGGTGAAGCAGTTGGCCAAGCCTTGCAGAACCCTTCCAAGCACTTCCAAAGGCATGTGTGCAGGTGCATTGTGGTTGGCCGCGGCCTCTCGGTGGCCTGTCCGAGGCCTGCCTCTCCTCTTGTTATGGGCTTTTCCGAAAGCAACGTTAGACACCCACGGGCCCCGCCCTCAAACCCTCCTCGGCAGCCGGCAGGCCTGCCGCGGCCTCTCTGTGGCCTGTCCGAAGCCTGCCTCTTCTCTTCGC